CTTCAAATTATGCAGTTGTGCAGTGCTGAATTGGCTATATTTAGCTGTAGATTAATAGAATCATAGAATAGTTAGGGTTGAAAGGACCTTAAGATCATCAATTTCCAACCCCCCTGCCATGGGCAGGGACACCTCACACTAAACCATGCCACCCAAGGCTCTGTCCAACCTGGCCTTGAACACTGACAGGGATGGAGCATTTACAACTTCCTTGGGCAACCTATTCTAGTGCCTCACCACCCTAACAGTAAAGAACTTCTTCCTTATCCAATCAGGGTATTCAATAGCAGGGTATTGAAGACTGAAGGTATTCCCAGAAAAAGAATTTTGGTACTTTTTCATTGTAACTGAGAGCTGAGGCAATGAATAAGCAGTTGAATACAGGGAGAACCTACTCCAGTTACCTCTGTAAGAACTAGAGTAGTAAGAGACATGAGAAACTTTATTTGTAAGAAATGTTCACTAATCCTCTTTTCAACTCACAGACAATTTCACTGGAACTCTTTCACTGTTAATAAACAAAACTGAGTGATTTAAACATGGGCAGAGAAAAAAGAAACATGGGCTGATCAAGAAGAAAGTTAAACCGACACTGAGTGTCTCAGCTCCACTAATTTCATCACCAAAACACACAGTTAGGGCCTGCACTGACTCACAAAATGTGTGAAAAGAGGTTCCTCAGTTGATCATGTCTACAGAACTTCATTAGCTCTCTTCTGACTTCCAGAAGAGTAGGATCTAAGCCAGTCTGTTCTGCAACAATTTCCTTTCCAGATAGTACCACTGTCTGCACTGACTTTGCTATGGAATCTCCATGATGTTGGTGAACATGAGTCTGGGAAGAATTTCTAGATTCAGAGAAATAAGTGTAATATTGGGCTGTCTTCGTTCTTTTTTTCCCCCATTCCAGCTATCCCTGCATTTTATGTGACTACAGAGTTTTCAAACAGCTATATCATAACAGTCTGTCGCAAGTGTATTGGGTGTTTCAGTTTGCCAGACCTGTCATAATAAATTAATTACAGGATGTTGCAGAAATGGCTGAGTTCCAGCAGCATCTTGCACAGTTTAATATAGCCCTATTTCCCCATTTCGATGTATTTGTGGTTAGATAAATCCTCAGAAAATTTACAGCTGCTACACACTACTTTATTCTACTCCCTGCCTGTGCAGGCGATACAAGTTCAACAAAAACTTGATGTCTGCTCAGAGCTTAGATTTCACAGATATTGCTTTACCGGTGTGGAAACATTTTTCCGCTAAAAGTGGCATCTGTACTTTCTTCCGAGTAGTTGCATTTGAGCATTAGACAGGACTCATAAACTTGCTTGACACAGCCAGGCATAGTGCAAATTCATTTGGCCTAACCAAGTCCTCACATGCAATGAGGTGGATGGAGGTTTACATGAAATATGGGGCTGTCATTTTAATTTCTAGAAAGTATTTTTCCAGTCTTTAACATTAGTGCACACTAACATAAACTACAGTGACAGTGTTGCTGCTCAAACCCTAAACTTTGCTGACTTTGCTGGAACTTTTGTATAGGGGTCCATCAACTCCAAGCAGCCTTCCTGACTGGGACTTTATGTATGCAGGTCACTGCTAGATTTTATGTAGACTTTATGTATGCAGGTCACTTCTGATGGGGAAGGCAGCAAGCAACTGACATACAACAGACTGAAAAAAAGGACAAAGCCACTCTAAGTAGAATACATCTACACATAAGAAAAGGATCACATGACATTTAATGTTCAAAACAGCAGCTTGATGCTTGGTGTGAGATTCCCATGTCTGCTCTAGCTGTTTTGCACCGGATGGAGAGGCTGGAGTGGACTGAATCAAGGCAGAGGTGCATACTGCAGCAGACAACAACTATAAAGGTGCCCCTCTGAAGACCTGTGCCTGTGTTAGAGACAAAGCTTCGTCTACCCTGCTTCATTTACAGCACTGCAGACCACGGATGATAAGGGTATTTCTGGGCTGTAGCTCACACTTAGGGCAGTACCAAGTTAGATGTTACTGGAGAGATGCAGGAGAATATTCAACATGGGTTCTGATCTCATACAAAAAGCTCCTGTAAATGGTGCACAACTTGAATGTATTAAAAAGTGAAGTGGTTAAATAACTTATTTCCAAATTCAAAAAACATGACTGAAGCCACGAAAGCTCTGCTATAACATGTCTTCTATCTTCCGTTCCTTCTTCTTAAGTTCCAATTTCTAATTGCCACATTTCTTGCAAGTCTCCCCCAGAGAGCAGTTTTCTTCTGAAGCTGCTTATTTCCCTCTCTCAAACCTCCTCTTGTTTCTATTCCTCACATGCAGCAGTTTTGTTCCTAAATGCACTTATTTTATACTTCAAGCAGTAAAACTCCTTGAACTAACACAGCAGGTTTTTACAAGTGCAGGTGTACATTCAGGAACTGATCTGTCCAAAACATTCTGGATAGTCACTGGACAGAATGCTAAGGGAAAAACTGCACAGTACAAACCTGTATGTGAATCTTTCTACCCTCCCTCCACTATTCAGAAAATACTTCCATCCCCTCCTGATTTCCACATCCATAAAATAGGTTGCACTGCATACATACCAATTTCATACGTGCTAGAAAAGGATTATTAACCCCCCACACCACTCTTTGTGTTTACCAAACAAGTGTTTTTGCTTTAGTCTGTTCCCGCCTTAAATGAAGGATTTCCTATTCACCTTAGCAATTAGAGCAGAAGGATGTAATGAATGAAGTGCCTCATTATCAAGTTTGTATCCATGGTCTCTGCAGAATGGCTACCATGCCGGCTATTTTTCATAGCTGTCTGCTTTTGCTTGTAATGGGCCATTGTTAACCCTAATGATCCTGACATTCAATTCTCCATCAGACAATCGGGTCCAGCCGGCAAATTTAGTTCACTAGTCAACAGAGACTTTCAGTTGTCATGTTCCTCTGTGTTCTCATTAGCCCTTATTTGACTGTGATCCATCCTTTACTGCCTTCTGAATTAAGTGATGCTACAAATAACACCGATTTGTGTTTTATAATGTCTATTCCTCAAATTATTTTAAAAATACCTTAAATGCAACCTGATGGCTATTGGGAAACGCAGGAAAAATGTGCCAGCCATTCTTTCCTATTTTGTTGATTTATGCATCGTTCTTGATGTCTCTGCCATATCATAAAAATGTAATAGGAGCTGTATGTTGTAACCACGCATACAAAACCTGAAAACACCAGAACAATGAAAGCCTTACTATGCTGTTATCACCAGGCAGTTACAAATATCTAATGTTTACCCTTTCTTAAACAAGGTTTTATCTGCTTTGGTCCAGTAATGAACTTGTATCACCCTCTAAAAACTGCACAAATAGACTTTTATAACTCTTGTATTTTAATTCATAACTCAGGACGCAATTTTGCAGAGGAAAATTTTTGGTAGGCAATCTGAATCCTTATGGAAATCTTTTTTTCCACTGGAATTTAAGTCCTTTAAATACTCAGACAATTTTTAGCAAATACACAAATGTTCATTTTAAAGTTATTTTAAGTCATATGTAGGTTACGCTAACACAGAAACAGGAAGCTTTATATAAAGTTTAATTTAAAAACGTTTTTACCTGTTACCTCACCCCAAACTGTTTAAAAGTTTTATCTGTTCTTGTTAAGTTGAAAATCCCAATAGCAATGTCTGAAGAATAAAGAATCTAGTAACACTGAAAAGCATTTTTCCTTAAAATGAATGTATCAGCCTTTGCCATCATGCCACGTTAATAATTTGTTAAGAGATTTGAGACTGAAGGTTCTAATTTTAACACTGAAAGACCGCTTAAGACACTTTATTTTCTTAAATTTCAAATCTTTTTGTTCATATTCTGTCAAATGAATACAGAAAACTCTCATACCACAGTGACATGTTATAAAGGAATAGAAGTGTCTACCCAACCATGTGGTAGGGAGAGAAAAATTAGAAAAACAAAAGCTATTGCAATTACAAGAAAACATTATGAAAAGTTTATTTTCAACTCCCTGCATTTTCATGTTTGGCTCTTATTTGATTCCTTCTGCTTAATTGTCATTTGGAACTGTGCCTTGGAAGACGCTGCTGCTGCCTCTCCTCTCAATTTGGAAAGTGTGGCAAAGCAGCTCTATTCAGCTTCAGAGCAGTGAACATAATTGGAGCCCTAGTTCGCAAGCATGAAAGGAGGTGCTGTGCCTTTGATTAGAACTACCATCTCTCTGTGGTGTTTATCTGAAGTGTTATTTCTGTCTTCACTGTCCACAATGCCAAATTAACATTTTACAATGCTTTCCAATGAGCTCCCAGATCTTGGCTGCTGCTCAGCTCTCCCTGACGTGGAGACTGATGTCATGCTCTGCCCTTATTTTAAATGTGACCCAGGACATTTTAAGAAACATACAGTGTTGAGGATTTTTCTCTTTTATAAGATCTTTAAATCCCACATCACACAGAATGATGAATTGGAACACGCTGCAAAAGCAAAGAGACAAAGGGGCTAGGAGCCTTGCTACAATCAGGCAGTCCCAGCACCATGATAACTTTACACCACATCTGACTGGGGAAAGGGACATTAATAAGTTTCCAGTGAAAATACGCAAACCTCATTTAGGGGAAGACTCTATAGGCTCTAGGCAAAGTAAAGCTAGGACTATAAGTAAAGAACAATTACAAGCAGGGCCAAAAGAGTATTTGTTGCTGTGCGTTACGCAAAAGAAACAAGTTTACAGATTCTTCTGGCTTTAAAACATGTGCAGGGAAGATACAACAATATATAGCAACTAGTCCTCCACATCTGGGTGCATTTCACACATCAGCGCCCAACATTGTTATTCTCACTTCTTTTTTTAATGGAATCAAGAGCCCTGACTACTAAATAAGGGCTTTCTAATTTTATGTTATTTATTGCTTCAGAAGGGCAGGAGGAAGAATTTCCTAGCAGAGTAAAAATAAACTGGACATCATTAGCCAGAAAAAAATACCAACACTAACTGATAGAAAGTGTTTTGTTTAATATAAAACAAAATTATTTAGCACTGTACATAATTAGTGAAGCCATTAGTTAAAGTTTACAACAATACTCAAGTAAAAAAGCCATGGATTAATGACACAAGTGAATAAGGACTACAAATAAACAGTACAGTTGGGTATAAAATATCTCATTCAGACAAAAGGAAGTATATTTGGCAAGACTGCTGCCACAGCAGCCAGGAACTCTGACTAAACTGCAATGCATCTTTATTATGTGCAGAAAACCTCATTTGAAAAATACAGCTGCCTGGAATTTGCAACACTTATTTACATTGGTAAGCATGAGTAGTCCCACTGAAGACAAGGTAATTGCATAGGTAGTTACTCAAAATTTGATTTGGAGCTGCAAAATGCAGTCCAGGGAATATCCGATGTCAGGAAAATACCTTTAAAAAATTTGTTTTCAGGTACACTGCAATACCAGCATTCCTTTGGAATTTTACCATTATGAACACTCCTCTATTTTACTTACAATGCATTTTAAAGCACTAATTTAATAACTTATGCAGTGTTTGAGCTTGTTTTGCTCTTTGTTACACTTTTCCACTTGATTCTCTGCTCCCAGTGGGTTGATCTACAGTCTACAGAAATGTCCAAGTTAAGGTATAACCAGATACTAAACTGGTTAACATTGTATTGGACAGTTTCAGATTTTACCAGTCCAGTGAGGAGCAAACATTCAAATTCTGCTGATTTCAAGGAAGCCAGAACAGAAGCCTTTGAAAACAGTTTTACACCATTAGTAAGTCTCGACCGGTGTCATTTTGCATATTTGAGTATTTCTTTGTTTCTTGTTAATCCTAGAAGTGAGATCGCAGTTGCAGCTTTCAATGTGTATACTGAAGATAACACCAGAATTTGGAATTAAATTATAACTATACGTCATAGCATTCAGGCTCGAAGGCAATATTTGTCTTTCCATTTGTGCTTAAGTTTGAGCCTCTGACTGCCTTTTTCTTCTTCTTCAATTCTACCCCATGGGCTGTAGGTTCATTTTCAACACCATTAGCTGTAACTGATGATACAGAAGTATCGAGACCCATTAAGTTGTGCTGATTTTCTCTCTCATTCCTCTGTATCCTTTTCTTCTTTTTCTTTGCACCTCTAGAGGAAGGTGGATATAAAAAGAGTGAAAGAAACAAAGTTAGCCCAAATTTAGAGCTTTTTCCACCCACAGCTGATGTATTAGAGCAATTGTCTGCCTGTTCCCCGAGTACAATGCTGAAACAGCTACAAAAACTACCATTCCACAGCAGAACAAAGACAGAAAAAACATGAAGACGAAATATGAGACCACTCCACAAGCCTACTTTTTATCATAGCACTGCTTTGAAAAGAACAGCTCGTGATCTTAAAAATCAGCTAGCCTTGATCAACAGTCAACAGATGTAATTAAAAACTACAAATTACCAGTCTCCTCCTCTCATTAAAACCATTGCACTTTTTTTTCTTTCCTAAGCTTAGACACCAAAATACTTGCAATTAAAGAGATTCCTGGTTTATTTACTCAACAAGAAAAAGACAGGCAGGCATAGTGGGTATGATTAGTTTTTCCATCTTAATTTATGTGAACTATGTCAGATTTACAGAATCAGAAATCACTTCAATGTCTATTTATGCTTATCAGACTTCATACAATGCCAAAAGCATCATTTGAGCTCCTGTATCTTTCCCACTCAGTGCCTTTAACAGGAATGTCCTGTACATGGAAGGAATTAGAGAGGTCTTGCAGATAACGCTAGGGATCCTGCAGATGTGACACCACTTCTATCATGAATTCCTACTCTTTGTGAAAGTTGTAACCTTATTTAACTGTAAATATGTAATAATGCTTTGACTGTAACCTTTCAAGGTACCATCTTTATTCAAAATTTGTATTGTGCCTAGCACAAAGTGGTCTTGGTTTGTGACCAGAACTGTCATGTTGAATGTGGCTGGAACACGTAAGTGCATGGATGAATCAAAACTAAAATTATAATGAGGTGTGTGCAGTTTCCCCCCAAAAAGAGCTACAATATCATTACTGTTAGTGACACTGTCCTTATGTAATCCTATTTTATAGATACAAATGTTTACACATCAGCCTTGGTAATGGACTGATGACTATATGCCTATAGTTTGATTTTTTTTTTTTTTCTTAAGCTAAACTGTGTATCCATGAATACATGCAGTGAAAACTGCCCTCTCCACGTCAGACAAAATACAAGCACTGGAGAAAAAAAGACAGAAAACCATAATAAAGCCTAGAATGTCCTGTACATGGAAGGAAAATACAACACTGTGTAGGACTGACATGTCTATCTTCCTCCCTTTCAAATTAATTCTCCTGACAAGGTAAAGTATCAAATGCTATTGCATGGCATCTCTCTCTCATTAATGATCAGGTATAAGTGATTCAGTACCCTGAAAGCTTGTGAATGAGGCTCTGCAACACTGCTCTTAGGCCCAGATGAGACAGCAATGACATGAAGCATGACTTCAGACTGGCATCTCCCTGATGTGCCTGCTGCTTATAGCTCAGGAAAAGGGAGCACATTCCTGTGACTCAGGCATGTAGGTGTTTTCCCTTATTGTTTTGAAATGTAACTGAAGTCGTTTTGGGGCTCTGTTTCTTCAGCGTGACACTTCAGTGTGAAACTCTTCTCAGGACAGCCATAGTTTCCATTAAAATGAATATTTCACATTTGATATGACTCAGAATTCTTGAATCTCACATTCTTCAGTGGAGGCCCTGGACTGGTCACTCAAAACAGTTGTTTTCTGAAGTCCTATTAATAGTGTTGAGTCATACCAAATTTTTGATAGTTGCTTCTAACAGACTGTATCAACCATCACAGTAACTGTGCTTTTAAAGCATTTCTTTCCCTGATATACATTCTATCAGAACGGTTATGCCCAAAATTCAGTGCTGAATTCTGTCAATATGTTGCTATATAGGTCATTCCTCATCATATATGTGGACTTTGCACTCACAATTTATTTTCAAATCTAGATATAGATGGAGGTAGAAAGTTAAGATTTAAAGACAAGTTAAAATTAGATCTGTATCTACACCTATAACATATATGCACAGATGATTTATTTAGGGAGGGGACAACTCTGGAAAATGATCAGTGAAATAACTTCGCTTAGATGACAGACATCTGTAATGGCAAACACAAGGGGTATTTCCAGATGTATTTTTTGAAGTATAAATGGTTGCAATAGCTAAAGATATTACGGAAGCTCTTGTTCAAAATGATCTTATCTGTTTACAGCTTTCACACAATGAATATATACAATTTTTAAAAACTGCAAGTGTCCCAATCGAAGATGCTCGTTTGCATCTTCTCAGTATGTGCTAACCTTTAGAAGGTAAAAACAAAGTTTTCAGTTTGTAGCAATAAAGCCTAATACATAGCTAAGGACACAGCAATCTCATATCCCTGAATTTTGATTCTCATAGACATTGCTTTTGGTGGGGAGAGAGAGTGTGTATGCATACGTGTGTGTATATACACACATATAAACTGTTATTTCCTTCACATTCCAGGTGTGAAGCATTTTCTGAATGATTATCCTAAAGCTAACTTCTTGCTTTGCTTGCTGAAACAAAATAACCTTTCAAACATTTCTCACGGTTTTCTAACAGCAGTTGTAGAAATAAGACTGCAGATTGTATTTCTTGCTTACTGAGTTGCAGATGAATCTCTCTCTCTGTCATGCTCTGAGTTAGATTTTAGGTCCTCTGACTTACTGATGACTGGTGACATCTGTAAAAGAGAAGAAAAAAAAAAAGGGAGGAAGGTAAAAAGACGACAGACGACACACGTACATAGAAAACCCACCAGCTTCCTGAAAAAGGAGAGAATACACCTCATTTGAAAAAGAATGTCTATCACGCATAAAATGTTAACTCCTATGTGGTTACAAACAAGGAAACAGTATCCTGCTTTATAAAAAACAAGCTACGTGCAAGTAAGAGTTTTCAGGTATGTGCACAAACAGTAGGTTATGAATCTGCTATAAGCCGCCTCAAAATACGCATGATCTGTAAAGAATTAAGTTATTTCTGCTACTATGTGAGTAAAACCAGAATGCTAAAAAGCCATCTTCCTGCATAGTTTGAAAAGAGAAACCTGTCTAATTTTTAAGCCTGCAAATTTCAGTCAAAAGCAATTCAGATCCCTCCAGGTTACTTTATAATTCAGGTCTAAAAAGAAAACCAAAACCCCAACACAAAAAACCCCAGACCTGGAACAGCTGAAGTAAATGCTCAAATTTCCTATGGAATTAATTAGTGGGTCTTTATGTGACTCGCTCTCCCTCTAAACATACCTTTTTCTAAGTCTTAACAGTTCTCGTACTTACTGCAAGAATTCCCATATGGAAATGTGAGTACCCTTCCTGAGTTTACTGTCTTCAGGGACAGATTATATTCTCTACTTTCTTCCACACAGGCTGTTGTCAAGTATCTGGTAACCAACCATGTAGTTTCGTTTCCACGCAGGGCAGAAGCCAACACAACTGATAGGCCTTATGTCTTACTCAAAATTTGCTCTTCTGGAAGCAGGCATACACTGCTCATCCAGCCATGAACTTCAAGCCTCTAGAGCACCACAAAAGCCGTGGAAAGCAGCGCAGGACACTGTAGGTTCAGACCTAGTTTCACAATACTATCATCAGTGAAAACCTGTTGTGGACCTCTACTTGGGATCGACAAGACAGCTATATTCTGTGTCTGTTTGACATGGTATGCATGAAAGAACAAGTTGTATTTAGGCAGGCACTGTGGGAGTGGGGACTGGTTCCCATAAAGACCTTGGAAAGCTGCAGAAAAAGTCTGGAAGCTTGAAGACAGAGAAGGGGGTGAGAGAACAGATCTAGTTCTTTCAAAAAAATTGAGATTTTTTTTTTCAGGTAGGAAAGAAGAATGATCTTGAAAATAACTCAACCCTCAACTTAGCCCACATTTCTGCTTTTTCAAGACTGCTACTTGAGATTCGGAATCATAGCTAGCCTAAAGCAAAGCCTACTACATTGTTTCTGAATTTCTCAAATAGCCTTAGTGTTAAAAAAGATCAGACCATTCAGTTCTGTAAGCACAAAGGTACTCACTTGCTTCTAAATAAAATGTTTAATGTTCTGCCATCAGCCTGGAAACAGCCAGTTACTGACATTACTGTCTCTAAAACCCCAGTTAAAACCAAACAGTGTTAGGACAGGAGTATCATTCAGCAGTTCTGGAATGCCTAACAACAATACAGCATCTAAAAACATAACCACAAAGTCAACAAGAGCTTTCTGGAAGCAGCAGAGAAATAAAAAATTACAGTTCCTGACCCTTTCGTCTGCCAGTTGTTCCTTTCATTACATGAGATCTCACAGGCAAGGTGTACCATGGTCCCTCTGTATTTAATGCAAATGGAGAGAAAACAGAGGGTTGCTTCATAGCAGTTCTTTTTATCACTAAAGCATTAGTTTTGGTATTTTAAAATGGAATGAAAATATTTTCCTTTGAGACACTAAACTTAACCATCACAGATTTCAAAGCCCTAATGAACAAAACTTAACATTCCTCTGTCAAATTCCACTGTCCAATTTTAATTTGGTGTGAAGTGAGGCACAGATGAAAACTATCTTGGCACACACAAATGAAGACCATACTGGAACCAGAAACAGTATCTCTCAGACCTCAGTTTTAGGCTTTGAACTGTTTAAGTAATTTCTCAAACTCTAAATAGAATTAATTAAAAACCTCCTTGTACAACTCTTGTCCCACCCACATGGTGGTGGTCAGCAGGTCCAGGGGCAAGAAAGTTGAGTCCTGAGCCCATGGTGGGCTATGGCACCCAGGTATAAAAGGAACCTTGCCAGAGAGCTATTTTGAGTAAGTTCTGCTCAGAACAGCAGTACTGCAAAGAGGGACTCTCCCCTTGGGTTGGGACATTGTCCAAGGCAACTCCTCGAGGTTCAGAGCCCTCACTTCTTAGGTCAGTGAGGGCACATTTTGGATCGCTAGCCAGAAAGAATCAGCAGTGTAGTAATGAATCCATGTGACACCCTAGATCTGTAGTTGATGTTGGTGGAGCTTTATTTGAGTTTGAACAGAGATTTCATTTAGCCTCAGCTTATTGGTTCTGTGACAAATGTTGGTACTTGAATGAAATTTGAACTTTTCTCTTGGCCCTGATCCCTAATATTATTACTTTAATATTACTACTCTGCTGACTTAGAAGAAACAGGATCAAGCTCCCATTGACTTGTTGAATTCATATAAGGGCACTGCCCACAACCACCACATTCCAATATTAGTCATTAGAATTAGTCTGCTGAAAAAGCATAGATTGCTGGATTAGTTTAGACAAAAATCAGCCTATTAGAATATAATAATGCAGCACTGGCAGGTCTAGGAAGAAAAAAAAAGTCTACTTCATACACAAAATCCTTGTTAATACAATGATAAATTTGAGACTAAGTCAATGGTAAGAGTAAACACAAAAGAAGGAGCAATAATGCCACAGATATGAAAATACAAGGGAGTGCTGTAAAGGGAATGACTCTTTAAGTAATTAATATTTCCTTCAGCATTTATAACCTTGTGGTTCCTTGCCATATAAAATCACGAATTCGCTTTACTTGCAGTCCAAACAAAATGTTTTTCTGAAAATCCTGTGGAAATGATGTTGAACTAGGTTTTTTACATTCCTTTCTGAGTAACTACTACGGAATCTCTACACTGTACTAATACTACAATCAAATACGGACCTTTCCAAAGAACAATCTATACAATTTTGTTGCCATATTCTAATTCTCCATCCTTTGAAAGATACAGACTACCAGAAGGATAAAACATCAGTTCATATCAATTCTCAAAGCTTAAATTTTATGAAGTTTCTCGTTTTGTTTACATTCATAAAAATAAAAATCGTAATAAAACATACACTTTCCTTTTCTTGAAGGCTTGTTGGCTTTAAAACTCATTTTTTGGTACTTTGCTGCCTCAATATTGCCACATATGAAGCAACAAAGGCAAAACAATTAAAGGCTAAATACACAAAAGCATATCAGTTCTTGACCCCTGCTGTAGAAGCCACAGCAGTAAGTCAAGCACTAAACCCTCCCTGGGCAAATTGTGTAAACAACCAGATGTATCAGAACTCAATTCCAAGCAAAACCTGAAGCAGAGGGCATCTAAAGGAAGTACTAGGAACAAAGTCGCATTCTAAGTCTAGTGTTTGTCATGGTTTTCTCTAGGCTGTGCAGAGTTGTCTCCAAGACTGATGGTCTGTGGAGGTTCTCTAACAGACTAAGCAGTAGATGGACAGAATGAAGCAATCTCTTCTGGCGATTCAAGCCATTAAAGTAAATGAGCTTGTTCTATAGCCTACTCTGCACAAGGGAACTCTCCCATAGAAGCTGTTTCTACAGCTTGATCTAATTAAAGATTCACTGGATCACAGATGGCAAGAACGGACATGCCTCTGTGTTTTTTTAGATAAGTCTTCAGGATGTTAAGCTCATTATTAAGTTTGTATTTTGTTTTCTATTACACAGTCCATGGATATAAGATTTATAGCAAGGTACTTAATTCCCCAGAACCATACTGATGCCTCCCATCTAAACTGTTCTAACAAGTCAAGTTTGGGAGAAATGCTGTGACACACTACACTCACCATTTTCTTTCCTGCTATTCTGTACCCTTCCACACATTTCCATATTAAATGAACAACTGGAAGGGAGATTTGCTACTGGAATTACATATATTTATTTTGCTTATTTAAAATTCAATTAACTTATAATTGCTCCCCCCCCCTCCCCTTCCTAGTATCTTTAAAGAACAAACCTATCTAAATAAGATTAACCATATTGTAACTCTTATGTCTATCACTACTTGGTATTTAGCAGAACTGTGGCTCTCTATGCAACAGAGACATTAGCATGAATTTTATCTTTCCCATAAAAAACCTGCTAAACCAGTGAAGTGTTTAGGACTAAGCTAACTTCTCCATCCACAAACGCTAGAGCCACAGTTAGAGAGGACTTTGCCTTGTCTAGTCTTTGCAACTGCAAAATCCCAGGGGCATTCAAGGCTAGCAGAGACCAGCAGGAAATCTGGTGGGTGAAAACAGTAGTCGTGGCTCAACACAGACAACTACTACATCTCAGAAATCAAATCAATTAGATGAATGAGGGTCAACAAAAGAAAGAGGAAGAAGAGTGGAGACAAGATACTTCAGACTGAAGCACTATGGTTTAGAACAGCTGTTTTCAGTCTTGGCCTCTGGGAATTTATCTGTGGTTACAGCTTTGCATTAAAATTTGCATTAAAATAGTTCAATCTTGTTCAGAGAGAGGCTATGAGGACCCAATAAGAAAACCAGGGGAAGAGAGAAGTTAGCTTGCTCCTGAGAGCTATGTTAAGAATATAAATGTCCCTGTATAGTATTTCTGGTTTTGCTTGACCAGTTCAGCAGCTCAGCCTGATTCTTCCTTTCATTAAACAGAACAGCCACTTATGGCAATGACTACGGGTGTCATTTCATCTTCCCTTTTTTCCTCCAACAGATATTAATTTGCTTATAAACCAGAGACCTTTTCTTTCAATGACTCAAGTAAATACTATAGACACAGGCACAAATATTTCATGAGACAGAATGCATTAGGAACCGTAGAGGTGGTTTTGGAGTTAAAAAAGAAAGAGCTACCAGCTTACAAGTAAAGTAGTACCATGCTTAAGAGAGAGTAATTCAGCTGCAACAGTACAAACTGC